TATTGCAAAATCTGAACTTGCCACCTTATCTTAACCACTGAACTTCAAGGTGTAGTTTCGTTCGATCTTATCTTAATTACATTAACTAAAATATCAGTAGAAAACGGTCAATCTTTCTTCTATCTTGCTAAACTACAATAAAAGTAACATCTTACTAGATATTAATTTAATCTATGTAAAAAATAATGGCACCAGTGAGATCATCTAGTTAATTGTAACCCCTTCCCCATTATGCGCCTTTCCTCTTTTCAATTGTCCGTTAATTAAGATCCGGAAATAGAAAAAGGATAACACCCGTTCATCAACTATCAATATCAGACGTAGGAAACATAAAATTATCTAAATACTCTTCGTCTTTACGACTCTAGCAGTGATCACGGCTACTGCGTGCACGTCTGAATGGATGAAAAACATACTTATAATAGAATCCCACCGAACTAACAGCCTAATCCTTTAAATGAGAAGCAGATGGCACACTGTTTACAGAGTCATTTGATCCGACAGTTTACAAGAAAATTCTCGACACAAGCTAAATATCTCATTTAAAGCTATATACACACACACACACAGTTTACCAGCAAATAAATCTAAGATATACTCATCAACCACTTTATTATGCAAATTATATATTTTCTTTATCATATACAGTTGGACGACCGATACCCTGTAAGAAGAATCTAAACCCAACTAGGGAAGAAGTCTCAATGCTTAAAGAATTATATCTGAAAGAATTACAAAATCTTTACAATAAATACAAGCCAATCTATGATCCAGACAGTGAATTAACATATGTTTAAAATGCACAGATAAACCTGTTTTTTTCTCGTTTTTGTGTAGTTTCAACTGATCAAAAGATACATGTATTTCAACAGTGAAACGCGTTATTTGATTTCGACTTTTTCTTCTTCATCTTTTGGTTATAATTATTTTGTATAACTTTACTTACATAATAATTTAAAAAAATGATTTAAAAGTACATATTACTTGTCTTCACTTCCAAGTATTGAAGAATTTTATGAAGCAAAGAAATACGAAACTGAATGATCATAGTGTTAATTAAAGTCTGTCGATTAATAAGCATACAACTACTTCATTAGAGTGTACCAATATCAGTATGAAGCTGTGGTTTAGATACCAGATATTCAACTACTAAGTTACAGAGTTTGAGGTTTTGACAGCCAAGTAGTATGATCAACCCCCCCCCCACCCACACACACACAAAAGGTGTGGTCAACTACATGAGAACCCAAGTTGATTACTGAGTTATGAAAACTTTAATTATGGGGTGAATAGTTGCCAAATTATTATAAACAAAACAGATTTCAAGTGTTGGTTTGTAGGGAATTGATTGGTTTCAGGATTTCATCATAAGCTGACATTAGTTAGAGAACCATTGGAAAACCTGGGAGTACTGGACAGCTGTTTCGTCCTAGTTTGGGACTCTTCATCAGTACGCACCCACCGGATTCGAACCCAGGACCTTCCGGTTACAAGGCGAGGTTGTATACCATTTAAAAAGTAATACGAGCTGCAAATGTTTCTTGCTGGTGATTATCAGTAAGCATAAATCAGAGTCCCAGGTGGTCTATCAAAAGTCACTGGTAATAAAAAAACAGCAAGAGTAAACAATAGACACCAAAGTCAAATGACCTTGATTTGACCAATCTGATAGCTCAGCACTACAAATGGTTCCTGGTCATAATCCTCTTTGAAAGTGTCTCCTAAATTTGGTTTTTGACTTCTCTGTAGATAATGTGTTGATAGAGAGGAATAAAATATGCATGTGTGCAGGGATAATAACTCTGGAAAAGTATTGCCGGGCTATTGATGGTTATACATTCAGATGCAACCACTTTATATGAGGAAGTCTGTATAAGTTGCTTAGTCGTACATAACTGGTGATCTTTTGGACACTTTCTTCTGGAAATCAATATATTGCATGTATGCAACCAGTATCTGCTACAGCTGGAGGAATGGAGAATACGTTGGTTTGATATGTCTATAACCACTTCTATGAGAATCTGGGACCAGTTTTCGCAGCACATTAGAGATACATACCCTATATGATTCATTTTTATCACATATATCGCAGATACTCTTATTTGTAAATTAAGTACCACTTTTCACCTAAAAGAGTCTGATTAGTTGTTTCTAGGTCGTCTGAAGTTAGTGTCTATTCTTTACTGTTGCCAAAATAACATGAATAAGATACTTCTGTCTCTTCCATGAAGTATATAAATTCAAAACAGTGATTGAGGTTTGCAATTAATTATTTATTTAAACGCATAAAAACTTGGTACAATATGGCACCAAGAAGGATGCGCCACTCAATAATAATAAAACAACATAGATCAAAAGAAAAAGAAGAGAATATATATATATATAAGTAGAGAACGGATAAAGAACTTCATCTGGAAGGCAAACAGTCATGCTTAACAAGTTCAAACACTATTCGTTAACTATCATCGTGAAGGGAAGAAAGAAGGAAACTGCAACACGTGTAATAGCACGCGATAAGTTTCATTGATTGATTGTTGCTTCATTCAGTTCATTGTGTGAGGGCTGAGATACTACCCGGGCGCCCAAACCGAAGCAGGTGGTTTTATCAAGGGACCACCCCGAGCCTTTGACTTGGAGTCTAATCCGCGAGGCAGCGGAGCAGCATTCCTATCGTTACCTGTGACCCATATGGGTTCATACGCCATTTGATCCGATTGGATACTGGAGCCCATGTACCCCATAGTAACTGCTTTTAGTTTAACCGCTATCCAAACAACCTTCCTGACATGGTAGGACCTGCAGGGACAGAGTCCCAGTCAGTTTAGCATGTTGGGTCATTACGGTATTCAAGCCCGACCACCACGACAAGGTAGCAGTTATCGGCCGGGATATATAGGGCTTCAAGCTAGTGGCTTGAAGTTTCTGTAGCAGCGGTGTTTATTTTTTTACAGGATGAGGTTGCTGGCCTCATGCCTAACCTTTCCTCTTTACCAGCATTTTTTCTGGCTTAGCGAGGTAAAGGAGTGCGTCGGCCGGGATCGAACCCCGGACTATGTGCATGGCCGGCGAGCGTCCTAACCGCTATGCCACCGACGCACTTGCAATTAATAGTGTTCTCTGAGCTGGTTGGTTTATTTGCGGTTATCAATCTATCTCCAAAGATAACCGAATTAAACCCTACCTCAACTAGGGATAACTATTAAGAAATAAAGAACTAAGAGGATATATCAGTTTTTGTTAGTTCGGCTTCGCCTTTGATATATCAAGGATCAACAGTTCTATATTCTCTCGAATATAAATTTACCATTGATTACCGTGAGATAATATTTATCCTCTTCGTGTATTCTGATGATCATTTGACTAATTCAAAATAGAGAAATTACAGTAAACAAGAAGAATATGATTGGTACAGTCTAGTAAGTTAATGTTACCACCTCCAATTGAACCAATAAGACACATTTGCGACGTAGCTCAAAAATGTTATCACTGACACAGATTCATTCACTCACTTTAAGCCATCAAACATTCGTGTTTTTCCTTTTTCCTGAATATTTCTGCTAAGTGTAGTTCCTTCAAACTTTTTTCTAATTCAGTGTGCAACATGGTATGTAGAAACCTGAACTGCTGCAAATCTTTCATCATAGGTGCCTACGTTCTATCTACTGCATTAGGTGGTATAAAAGGGTGAATAATATTAAGGTTAGGCGTCAAGTATTAAATAGAGAGGGAAAGTCAATCGGTGAGGTTGTAAAGCTACACCGATTGAGATGGTCAGAATATTTGTTACGCATGCCTACCCATTGGCTTCCTCAACAGAGAATGTTAGCTGACATAGGATCAGGTTGGAAAAAGGATAGTAGTGGTCTAACCAAAACTTGAAGTCAGTCCATGAACTCTTTGACAGTCAGTTTTAGCCACGTTGGGAGGTGTAGACTGCCTCTCAATAGGGTCCTCAGAACTAATGACTGGAGACAACCGGTGACATGGCTAAAAATTGTTCTCCATGAATGCCGCAGATGCATTCACTCTCGCGGTGATCTCCTATATATCCATTAATCTGAAATCAAAAATCTTAATGCTACGTATAACCATACACTTCTATCACGTAAATCTCCTATCAGCATGTGGAAACTTTTCAATGAAATTACTGGCAATAGTAAGCGATGCAATGTTTTCCCCTCTTACGATGTTAATGCTCCTAATCAGTCTTTTATACGCTCTCCTTCTAGTATAACTACTTCTAACGATACTAATCATGTAGCTGATAACTTTCATGACTTTAATACTCTCGATGTTCTAAAATGTCTTGTCTGTCTGTCTGTTTTCGACATAGAACTTTGCACAAATGTGCGGAAGTTCAAGTCGCCACATTCCGTGTCTTAAAGCGCTTAAGCCCTTATGTAGCCTTGACCCTAATGGTGTACCTGCATATGTTCTAAAACAGTATGTAGATGCTTTATGTTCTCCACTAACTAACATCCTAAATGCTTCTTTCTCCGAAAACGTTGTACTTGTCGCATGGAAAGACATTAAAATAGTCCCTGTCCCCAAAACTTGGCAATAACAAGAACGTAAAGTTCAGACCCATTGCCATTACTGGTTGCAATCCTACTTCTTTAACAGAATGCAGTACACCGTATACAAAGGTAAATCCTCCTCTGTTGTGCTCACTGAAGCTGGTGTCCTCCAAGGTGCTGTACTCTCCCCACTTCTCTTTTCTTTCTTTCTTTCTACATGAATTACCATCTTCAAATGACATTAATTTTGTCAAAGATGCTGACTACCTCTTTTCTTTCCTCTTTTATCTACCTTTTGTGTGCTTCGTGGAATGTAGCCACTTGAACCCCTGCACTTCTGTGCAAAGTTCTATGTCGAAACTCAGTTAATCAGGCAGTCAGTATGTAAATAAACACGTGTTCACATCAATAAGACAAGACGATCAATAAGTGGAACTTTTAAACTTGAGGGATCAATAATCCACTCGTATATCCCTACTAGATATGAATGCATCATCAGAAAACTACTGCCAAAATATAATTAATACTGATAATACTGAAAAATGCGAGTTTTTGGATTATCATGATGCTAAAGGTGATTCTACAACACAATCAGAATATTTACATAATAATCAAGGAGTAGAAAACAGATCAGCAGACACACCACCAATAAAGAAAAGATGTTTAAAAGACGAAGAAATACACATCATTGAAAAGTATAATTTAATTGCTTCCATTTCAGCCATAGAGCTGATGAATGTTAGTAATAAAGTTGAAAAAATGAAATGCCTAAATGAAAATTGTGACCAGCAGTTGAAATGTGATAGCTTATGGATCAAAGAACAAGACTCGGGATATAATAATACGAATACTTATCTTTAAGTATGATTTAGATTCCATTTTCATTTAAAGTAATCTACTTCTGTTGTCTGTCTACTTACGAATGTGTTGTTGTTTTTTCATTCCGAAAGTTGCTTTCAGTATTACTATTTTGGTTGTGTAATAAACACAAACAAATAAAGTGAATAGTATTCTTATTGCATCAGTTCACCTCCATGATACTAATGGACTTGTCTGGAAATAATAACTCAGCTGCCGTCTGCACCTTTATGCACTTGGAAACAAGCTATAGCTGTTTACTATGTGTGGACTAATTACACTGTCAAGCTACCCGGCTGATGAGAGCAGGTTAAAAAACAGTTGTACTGAGAAAGTTGACTGTCTAGGTCAATAAACCCATGGTTCCGCTAGCACGCAATGATTGACAAATTAAGATATAAATTGGGAACAATAAACAGACAACGGGCAATGAGGAAACAGGCATAAAATGGATTCACGCAGAAAACTTGGCGGACCTGGACTTCGCCGATGACATATATATGTCTGATTTCCCACTAACTGGAAGATATGCAAGTCAAAAGCAACAAGCTAGCAGAAGAAGCATCAAAGATAGGAGGGATTTCAGGTGATCATAGAAGGAAACAGAGGTAGGCGATGACAATTCCTGGCCAACAGCAACAGCAACAACAGACAACAATCAGCATAAATGGGAGGAATCTGAAAGAAGCAACCTCCCTCACCTACCTACCTACATGGGAAGCATCGTTTCAACTACAGGTGGAACTGACGAGGACATCAAAGCCAGAATCGGAAAAGCAAGACAAGCTTTCATTACTCTCAAATCTGTGTGGAGGTCAACAGCACTCAGCATCAAAATAAGATCCGAATTTTCAACTCCAATGTGAAGTCAGTGCCACTTACTTTACGGATTGGAGACTTGGCGAGTCATAAAGAGCATCTCAAACAAACTTCAGACCTTCATTAACAGTTATCTTCGCTCAATACTCAAGATCAGATGGCCAGAAAAGATCAGCAACAAGGATCTCTGGCAATGAGCGAACCAACCAGGAACCGATTGTGAAACAAATAGGCAGGAAGAAATGGAGATGGATTGACCATACGCTGAGGAAACCATCAAGTGACATCACTAGACAAGCCATTGCTCGAGTAGAAGCCGAAAGGGAAGTGGTGAGTTGGTCGTCAGTGTGTGGGTGACTTGGAGGAGGTCATGTGAAGAGGAAACGAAAGCATATGGGCAGACTTGGAGCGGAGTGAAAAAGTTGGCAGAAAACCGAAGGCAGTGGAGACGCGTGGCTGAAGCCCTATGTTCCTCTTGGAATTAAAGGATATAATAATAAATAAATAAATAAACTTTTGGTTCAAACTAATGCTATGCAGGCAACAAAATTATAAATTCTGATTGTGAAACTACAGAAAAATACCAAGTAGCCTAGAATGTATAAAAAACGACATCTGGACCCCGCCCTCCGAAAAGTCTCAAAAAAATGAATCCACATAAAAGAGAAAGCAAATACATAGTTTTACAAGCACCAAAATGTATATATTTCTTATGATGTTATAACAGTAGTTAAGTGAAAGACTTCTTTAATATTAGTTAGAATCTTTGAAATTTAGAGCTGCCCGTTGAACTTGTCTCTTGTACAGCTTGTGTAAGCATCAGCTTGCCCATAGTTTGACCTGCCATCTGAGAGAGACTGTTACAATAGAAATCAAGCTGAGCTGAAATCAATGCTGTATCAAGACGTATTGGCGCCAACTCCCGGTTTCGAGCCTCAGTCGCAGTCTGTATAATATAGGGGTGATTAAGGAGATGAATATTCAGTAATTGCATATCGAATAAAAAGATTTATCATGAAATTCGTTAGCCACTAAGTTATATGTGAAAAGTTTTTACTGAAACCATACAAAAATTAAATTACTGCTGAAGATATCACCAAGCTGTGATGAAACCTCCCCGATTAAATATCAGAGTTTGAGGAACACCAAAATAATTTTCATACGCTAACTGTCTAGAACAATATATCAAATGTCAATGTAACTTCTTTATTTAATATTTGTAAAGCAATCAAACCGGATAAACCATGCTTAACACTTAGCCCATAGATATCGTCACTCACAAGTCTTCAACTATATAGTAGACTTGAAATAATAGAAAAGATCTGTAGCTCAGGTGAATGATTTTCATTTGGCATTTTGTGTAATGGATGGTGTAATCGCGAAGCTTTCAATGTTCTCCTAGACAACATCTAGAGAGCATACTTCGATATGATGTGAATTTATTTGAACTCATTGTGATTGATATAACTATATATCGTAACTAGCACATAAATTTGGAGAACAGAAATAAGTCGATGGAAAGTATCTTCTGCAGACAGTTATACGATGAAGTTAGAAGTACCGTAAATATTCTTGGACAACGTTAAACACTAATAAGATCAAGGGTCCAATTTTCAGATGTGTTACAGTTTTAAACCTTTTCTATCCATTTTGATAAGCAAATGCTATCACAAACTTCAATGGATCACATGTGATCCGTGAATTAATGTATAAATATGTACAGAAACTGCTTAGTTAGCAAGATTCCCTACCCCCCATTGGATACTAAGGATAAAGACTGAGCGTATTTGCAGAGAGTAAAACATGAAAGATCCTGTCTTTTGATCAACACTTGGCGAAATACCCTCTACCCACCAAAAGGCATATGTACCACACACAACAGTAAACTTAGTTCTACTTAACCACATAGTGCAACATGCCTTCTAGAATAACATGTAAAAAGAATGGATAATTCCGATCACAGGTATCTACATTCAGTAGCAACATGATAAGTAACATTGAAGTTACGTGGGAAGTGTTGAACAAAGTTTACCAATCGACGCTATGAAGCTACATAGATTGAAGTGGCTAGTATATACCTATCCATAAACTTCCTCGATGAGAAATTTATGCTCGAGTAAGACTAGGTTGTAAAAGAGTAAGATTAGTTAGACCAAAGCATGATACCAATCAGTGAAATTATCGACTGTTGCTCCTAGAATGGTAATGAGATGTAGATTGTCTGACTTCATACTCGGGCTGCTAAGAATCAATAGTTGGAGACTCTTGGTGACGTAATGTATTCACTGCGTGTCATCTTCCGAATCTGGTAAAGCTCCACTGTTCTTCATTTAATTACTTCAATCAACATACCCAGGTTTGTCTAATGTACCACTTTGCTCTTCTCTAATTTTACATGTGCATGTGGGTAGCTCAACTAGAATGATTCTGTAAAAAGATGAACTTTGATTTTGGCTCTATACCGCTCAAAACTCATTTTAACATAAAAGTTAGAATTTCTGTCATGAATCGTATGCAAAGTGTTAGTAAAAACCAAGTTGAATGACTTACCTTTCCAGTGACAGCAGTTTGGGTTTTTGTTAAACTACGCTGGTACAGGTATTGAAGATCATGCACACTATCTAGACCAACAAGTAGAGAACGTAGCTGTTGCTCTAAACTAGAAGCCATGCTTAAGTTAAGGGTAGAATAACGGCCAGGATGATCTGTTGGAAGGGGTGGGGCAAGATCTAGTATTGATGATTTTGCAGAAAGCTCTGAACGTGATAATTCTTGATTGTCAACGATTTCAGTTAAGAGAATATTTACAAGATGGGAATTATGTATTACAACAGGTATCTCCTCCAATACACGAGTGAAACTGCTACGACCAACACTACCTGCTGCTTCCTAGAACAAGTGAAAAACAATCAAAGCTTAATATATTCCATTTACCTAATAACCTGAATAACTGCCTATATTAAAAACAAAAAAGGATACGCAAAAGGAAAACTAACTTGTTCGACATAAAAAAAACTACTAAAGGGGATATAAATCGTGGAATAAACCGACATTCATTATTAGTCTAGTGGTATCTGCAGCCAAAATGTTTGTAACTATAAAATTTCGTAACCTGTAGTTAGAAAGATCAACTGTCTGTACTCATGATTTTACAAATGATTACAGATAATCAAATATCAGTTTCGAAGTTCAGTAGCTAGAAGATAAACTAGTAATTAAATACTTTGTCCAAGTAGGAATAAACTTGTTGGTCACTAGCTAAGTTGGTTAAGAGAGCTATGACACAATTTGAAAACATTTTATAGCACTAGTCATGAAAGCGGTGCGGATCCTGCATGGAACTTCTAGACAGAAAGAAGAGATAGGACAAACAATGGATCACTACAGACATATGGAGGCTGAGAGAAGAGAGAGGGATGGTGAAACATAAGATTACCCAGTGCATCGATGGCCGATAAAACACAGGAGTTGAATGCAAGCAACAATACACTGGACAAAAGATTAAAGAAAAGTGAAAAGGAAGACAAAAGAAAATATTATGAAGCTATGGCCAGCGAAGCAGAACAACAGGAGTTGAATGCAAGCTACTGTACGCTGAGTGGAAGACAAAATTGCCAAGGTACGGCAAGTGAAGCAGAACAAGCTTCAGGCAAAGGAGACCTCGCAACACTCTACCAAACAACTAGGTTCCTATCGGGGAAGAGATGAGCACAAATTAAGCCAGTGAAGGATGGCGATGGAAAGTCAATCATCAAAAAGATGGAGCAAAGGAAGCACTGAGCTGAACACTTCAAAAAACTTCTTAGTCGACCGCCACCTACAACGCACCCAATAATACCAACAGAGAAAGTAGAACTACCAGTGGATACCAACCCTCCGACGAAGGCAGGCCATAAAGAATCTAAAAACTGGAAAAGCACCAGGACCAGACAAAATCCCAGCAAACGCATTCAAAGTGGGCCCAAAAACATCAGCGGACTTAATGACACCACTACTGGAGAAGGTATGGAAACTGGTAAGGTACCTGCTGATTGGAGGAAAGGCTACCTATTCAAACTGCCAAAGAAAGGAATTGGCGCGGCACTATGCTCCTGTCTATCCCAAACAAAATACTAAGCCTCATCATCCTGGAGAGAACAGGCCGGATTTAGGAGGAAAAGTCATGCATCGATCCAACTGGAACACCATGTATCGTCATTGAATAGAGCTTGGAATGGAAGCCAGCTCTCCATCTCAACTTCATTGACTTTGAGAAGGCCTTTGATAGTATCGATGGAGGTGATTTATAATCTACTTCGCTACTACGGATGTCGCCAACAATTATACACCTCATCCAACAGTTGTACGATAACGCTGCATGCCAAGCGAAACACACGGAATCCTTCGAAGTGAAGACAAGCTAGCTATCTACTATCTCCAATGATTTTCCTGATTGCAGTAGACTGGATAATGCGACAGACAACGGACAGCGAGGAAACAGGCATAAAATGGATTCACGCAGAAAACTTGGCGGACCTGGACTTCGCCGATGACATATATATGTCTGATTTCCCACTAACTGGAAGATATGCAAGTCAAAAGCAACAAGCTGGCAGAAGCAGCATCAAAGATAGGAGGGATTTCAGGTGATCATAGAAGGAAACAGAGGTAGGTGATGACAATTCCTGGCCAACAGCAACAGCAACAACAGACAACAATCAGCATAAATGGGAGGAATCTGAAAGAAGCAACCTCCCTCACCTACCTACCTACATGGGAAGCATCGTTTCAACTACAGGTGGAACTGATGAGGATATCCAAGCGAGGATCGAGAAAGCAAGGTAAGCTTTCATTACTCTCAAATCTGTGTGGAGGTCAACAGCACTCACCATCAAAAATAAGATCCGAATTTTCAACTCCAATGTGAAGTCAGTGCTAGTCTGTACAGATCAGAGATTTGGTGCGTCACGAAGGGCACTTAGAACAAACTACAGACTTTCATCAACAACTGTCTTCGCCCAATACTATTCAAGATCAGATGGCCAGGAGAGATCAGTAATGGTGAGGAATCTCTAGGAGTGAACCAATTGGGAACCAATTGTGAAACAAATATGCAGGAAGAAATGCAGGTAGATTGGCTATGTTCTGAGAAAGCCGCCAAGTAACATCACACTCCAGGCCATCGCTCGAGTGGAACCCGAATGGGAAGTGGCGAGCTGGTTGTCAGTGCAAGGGTGACATGGAGGAGGTCATGCGAAGAAGAGATGAAAGCATGTGGGCAGACGTGGAGCCAGGTGAAAAAGTTAGCGGAGAACAGAACGCGATGGAGACGTTCGGCTGAAGCCATATGTTCCTCTGGGAACTAAAGGAGACAATAATAATATAACAGTGCGTGCTAATTACAGACAATAATTCTAAGGACATGAATAAAAGTAGTCCTGAGTAGAATGCTACTCTCCTGATTACAATAGTACAGAGTAAGCATATACTTTCGCATACGAAAGACAGACTAAAAACCACAGATGGATAGTGTGTTATTTAATTACTTATGCCTCCAGAAATAAAAAACAAGGCTACATTTAGTTTAGTTAATTTTGCATATCCATAAGACTTCCATACAAAAGAGTATTATACGTATTTCACTCTATCATAAGGAAAGAAGTATAAGTGATTTCACCAGTTTCAGTATGTCAATTCTTACACCAGTTCCATTGTCCGGAATAAGGTCTTAATAATATTGCCCAAGTGGGGAAGCTTAAACTGGACGACGAAACAAACAGGAAAAATGACAAAAAGAACGGTCTAATTTAAATTCTTGTTTAATGAAAATAAAAATGTAGAACAAACAGAAACTTACACATTCCCATGGAACCTCAGGACCCTACAGTTAAAGTGAAAACATAAAGTAAACACATTAGTGAGAACAATATCAAATGAAGTTTACTTTAACGTTAATCACGTCAAAAACAACATTCCAAGTAGAAACATGATGTAAAGCCGTAGATAAAATAAAAAATGACCCTGATAACATCGAACTTAAATAACTGAGTAACATTTTGAGTCTTTATATTTCATATATGCGAAACAATGTGACAATACATGAGGCAGTAGTCGCAGGAATAATAAAGTAAACATAAAACTGCGGTATAACAACTAAGATAACGTAAAGCCACAGCTAAGAAATCTGACAACTCAGGTAAATGGTTTTGGTTTACATTGAATGAGCCATGACAGTTGTTAAAGCGAGCATTGTTATTAGATGGTGATTGAATTTATGTTAAGGCATCTGGCACTAAGCAAACTCTATCGATATATTGCTGTGAGAACCTCAGATGACAAGAGTACTATGTACTACATCAGGTGATTAAAACATATCAATGGAAAACCTGTAGACATGCACTATTGACGTCCACTAACAGTCACATTTGCGGTGTCATTCAGTGTTGCAGGCAAAATATCTTAATGAGTTATTCAATGTCATTTACAGCTATCTGTCTGTCTGTTTTCGACATAGAACTTTGCACAAATGTGCGACAGTTCAAGTCGCCACATTCCGTGTAGCACGCGAAGCAAGAGAAGAAAGTACAAGAAAAGCATAATAGAAACAGTGAGCAGAGGCGTGAGACAAAGAAGTAATAAAGAAAAACAAAACAGTTTCATTGGAGATCATAAGTCACAAGGAGTGGATGCATCTGCGCCACTGCTATGTAAACATACGTGGACATTCCACAGCATAGAACAAACCTAGGGAACCAAAGATGCTTTATCCAACTTGTAAAAAACATCAAAGTATTGAGGCCAGTCACACACGGCCTGGATGAACTGGTTTCTGGGATTGGATCCGCCAAATGCAAGATGATGTTACAGGACTGGACTACATCGCCGCCTAGTTTAAAAATAGGAAGTGAAGTGGTAGAGCACGTTGACCGCTTCACTTATTTGGGAAGTACCATCAGCCTCAGCGGGCTGATCTCTGACGAAATCTCAGCACGAATACAAGGGGCTCGTTTCGCATTTGTTAGTTTACGCCGACTCTGGCGTAGACGAGATGTTCGACTATCGACCAAAGGGCGGGTGTACTGCTCATCAGTCCGCTCCGTCCTCCTGTATGGTTGTGAGACCTGGCCACTCAGAGTGGAAGACATGAAAAGACTAGCTGTCTTTGATCATAGGTGCCTGCGTTCTATTTCCCGTGTAAAGTGGCATAATAAGGTGAGCAACATGGAGGTTAAGCGTAGAGTTCTAGGTAAACAGGGGAAATCAATCGACGAAGTCGTGAAGCTACATCGACTGAGATGGTTAGGACATGTGTTACGTATGCCAAGCCATCGCCTCCCTCGACGAGCAATGTTAGCGGATATAGGGTCAGACTGGAAAAAAGCTAGCGGCGGTCAAACAAAAACTTGGCATCAGTCAATGAAATCCACAACAGTTGGTCTAAGCCACGTAGGAAGGTGTAGACTTCCAGGCTGGGGTCCTCGGGACGGTAAAAATCTATGGTTGGAAACAATTGGTGACATGGCTCAAAATCGTTCTAAGTGGCGCAGATGCATCCACTCCCTGTGACTTATGATCTCCAATGAAACTGTTTTGTATTTCTTTATTACTCCTTTGTCTCACACCTCTGCTCACTGTTTCTATTATGCTTTTCTTGTACTTTCTTCTCTTGCTTCGCGTGCTACACGGAATGTGGCGACTTGAACTTCCGCACATTTGTGCAAAGTTCTATGTCGAAAACAGACATTGGTTCCGTATTAGTAAACTTACCGCCGGTTACGGACCACCGTAGGGTAAGTCGGGATGTACAATTTTTGGGGTCAACCTTTTCTAATCCCTTCTCTCCGGAGTAGAGAGACAGCATAGCTGCCATGCTGGTCATCTGAGGGAAACACCTCACCGTTGTTACACCCCTGTTCCCCAGCAGTACGACTTTGCCCTCAGACCCCCAGAATGGTGTAAGAAAGATTCCCACACGATGCAGGTAACTGCTTTTAGTCTAATCGCTATCCTAACAACCTTCCTGGCATGGTAGGACCTGCAAGAACATACGTTCCAACCAGTGTAGCTTGTTGGGTCATCGCGATGTGTAGGCCCGACCACCACGTCAAGGTAGCAGCTATCGGTCGGGACCTTAGTTCTAAAACACCACGGCAATGGCACTTAAAAAACGGTGATAAAATATCGAAGACTAAATCTTGTCTTGAACAGTCCCGTTGCATAACCAAACGTTAGGTGAATCACTGCTGCACAAAACAATCGACCACCCATACTCAGTCATTTATGCCCCAAAAGTGTAGTTTTAAGGAAGACAAAACCTTTTGTGTGAATTTTTATTGACCACCAACTTAACAGAATAAAATGGTCAAAGTTGAATATCTTCACATACTACTAGGAAACTGGATGTCACTGGAATGAGGAAAAAATAGCATGCACCTGCAGAAGAGGGCGACTAGTTTTACAATTCCTCTTTAAAAATGCGAATGTAGAATGGCAGTTGTGTATCCCCTTTGAGAACAGACAGTAATAATAATTATCTTCAATGAGCTAACCAAGACAACTCTTCTCACAGATCAGAAGAACAATTAAGATAAATTCGATACAGACTAATTTCCGTAAAATTACTGATTACCTGACCAGATTCAAAGTAACTGAATCATTAGAGTATCTGATTAGAATATTCGCTATCATAGGGGAGAATCTAATCTACGTTAATAATATTCCCATTGTAAAAAGTTTTCACACCTCAAATAATGCTTACACGCCATATGGCGTGTATTTTGTCAAAGGATGTCTAATTACATATCTCAGAATTTAATTGGTGCAAAATCCAAGAAATAACTGTAAGAAATAAAAATTCACACTCATACTTTAACTAACCTTTTGATTTCCACTTAGACGAAGACGTTCTTCAGCTTCTGACCTTGCAGCAAGAACATCATCAGACAAGCGATATGCTTTCAGACCAATCTGACCTCTACTGGTTCTTGTTGGATCATATGTGAGTAACACAGATTCAGGTAGGTAGCTCTGTCGTTGATATATGTTGTCAATATTAGCACGATTTATAGAAACACCGCCAGGACCAGCTTGGTAAAACCCAACATTTAGGTAGTCCGTATTTAACTTCATGTGTAACTTCAAATATTACTACTTACCTGTCTCAAATTACGAATCATGTTGGCCTCATAATTAATCAGTGCTTCATTAGCATTAGGATCATCATCTTGGGTTTTAGGCAACGGAAAGCAGTTCGTGATCTCAAGTTGGCTGCCTTGCGCGAGACCCAATAGAACGCCATTAACAAAGTTCTGGCTGGATATTGATTCCTCCTCATAATGTTTTATCATCTTCAAAAAGACAATTCCTTCAACACGAACACTTTCAATGGGTTTATAAATCTTGGACTCGAAATCCATGTTGTAGCGTCTAAACTGAATGAGCCGGTAGTAAATAAGTCAATCACCTCCACGTGTCTGGCAGTGAGTGATACCCCTTTAAAATATCAACATTTGTCTATCCTAGGCCACTTAATGAATGCTTCGTCGCTTAGATACTACGTCATATTCAATATATTTCCATGAGTTTAACGGACGCTTCTTGTTTCAGAACAATTCTGAATTTTTGGTTGGTATCAGTAAAATCTATCAGATTCAGATTCAGATTTATTGGTTGAGGATAGAAGGCTTGCAGCCTATGTTAATCCTTTTCTAGTAGATTTCTGTGGTTGTCCAAACCCTTCTTGAACGAATCAATTGAGGTTGCAGACACCACTTCTTCTGGGAGTCGGTTCCAAGAGTTTATGACTCGATGTGAGAACCAGTACTCAACAGCAATATGATTTCTCCTTGGCTTTTGAACTCTCCTGCTATGTCCTCTAAGGTGTTCCGACCTGGTGGGAAGGAAAAGAGAGAATAGGTCAGGTCCGTAGTCATTATTTAAAATTTTAAACATTGTGATTAAATCTCCTCTCTGCCTACGGTATGACAGTGAGAAGAGATTTAAACTATCTAGTCTTTCCTCATATGATAAGTTAGCTATGCCGTGAACCATACGTGTTGCCTTCCTTTGAACACTTTCTAGAATGTGTGAATCCCCTTTTAGACACGGACTGGCGGCCTGGATGCAGTTTTCCAGTCTTGACCTAACCAGAGATGTGTATAAGGAGGTGAACATATCTCTGGTAATTCTTGTGAAGGCTCTGCGAATCGCCCATAAGGACCTGAAACTACGTGCAGCCACCGCGCGACAGTGTGCTGTAGTTTTTAAGTCGTGGCTAACTATGACACCTAAGTCCAAGTGAGTCTGAACTGATGGAAGTGTTATTCCCTCTAGTTCGTAGGAGCTCGTGCTTGCTTGTCCAATGCGCATGGTTGCACATTTTGCCACGTTGATCGGGAGCATCCATTCAACAGACCACTCCGACAGTTTGTTGAGGTCGTCTTGCAAGGTGGACGTATCACTGTTGCCCTTCAGCTCTCTCCAAATTTTTAAGTCATCTGCGTATAGGACCATAGGGGAGTCGGTCAGCAGAGGTAACTCATTGATATACAGAATAAAAAGGAGAGGACCGAGAACCGTGCCTTGTGGCACTCCGCTACTTACTGCTGTCCAGGAGGAGAGTTTTGAGTTGATCCTAACCCTCTGCCTCCTATCTATGAGGAATTCCCTGAGCCAGTCTAGTAGTCTGCCTTTGATACCAAGACTTTCCAATTTCATGAGTAGTCTTTTGTGAGGTACTTTATCAAAGGCTTTACTGAAGTCTATGAAGACGACGTCAACGGGTCTTCTGTCATCCTTTGATTTAACCCAGCTTTCTCTTGCAGTCAGGAGATTTGACAGGCATGAGAGGTTCCTCCGGAAGCCATGCTGTGCTCCAGATAACAAGCTGCTATTTTCCAGATAAGCCATGATGCTTTTCTTGATAATTCTTTCCAGTGTCTTGATTAAAGTGCTGGTGAGACTGATAGGCCTGTAATTTGAAGGGCTTTGTCTTGATCCTCCTTTGTGTATGGGAGTTACTATGGCGTCTTTCCAATCACGTGGCAACACTCCATTTTGGAGAGATAGCTTGAAGATCGTGGTCAAGGGGCCGAACTGAACTGCAGAAACTCTGCCTGACATAACAGAAGGAGCCGTTTTATTTCATTTTGAAGAGAACATGTGGTTTCTATTAGGGTAAAGGCAGCATAGGGACTTTCAGATCTCCTTACACTTGTGGAGTACGTAACAATGTGATTGTACACTTTTTGGTTATTTGTATAAATTCGAGATATTGTACATATTTTTTTAAAACGCTTCTTGTTGAAATATACATAACTTCCGTGTACAATTGAAAAATGTTCCGTTTCCTTGTTTGACATTACGACAAATACCGTATATTGTTTCAACTTTTTATTTTTGATTTTCTGTTTTTATGTTTTCCATTTGGGTCGACAAACACTCTAAGTGAAGCGGTACTAGGTGATTAAGGGACGAAGTGAAACAATTGCTAGGCGAAAAATGAAAGGCGTGTCGAGGGGGAAATCTAGGCAATACGGCAATGAAAGCAAAAACATAAGATATGAAACAAAATGACCATTACGGAAACAGAGATAGAAGTAGAACATAATGGTAAAATACTGGGATATTCATAGTCCAGTGTCCCCGAGAATCAGACAATTCCTGCCTTGCATTTGCCCGGATCTTTCGATCTTGCGTCATGACTGAGCCTTCTAACGAAGCTACCAGGGAATGGAGACGTGAATAGTTCTGCTGAGAGTAAACTCTGAAAGTGGCGAAACTTTCTCGTGACGGAGATGGAGGGGAATGTAGCGGTTGGTAATTCTCCAGAATTATGAGCCACAGCATCCATCAGTGAATAGTGGATGCTGACGCCCACTGTTTGAGTCGATTTGTTTAGCTGAAGGCTCGTGGTCAAGCATCCCCGCCATTTCGTACGCTTCTGTGTTACGCTCTTTCGTTTGTCCATGACCCCAGAGCTAGTTCAGCAATCAATTTCGCCTACGATTTGGTCTCATAATATAATTCGAAATTCGGGAGCTCAATCTTAGTGTTTTACTTTGCTTTTGGTCCGTGCGGAACGAATACTATAGAAGTTTAGTGTATTGGATCTGGCGTTAGTATGCTTCGTACCACCCATGAACGTCAATACCCTCATTGTCTAACGTTGTTCCAACCTTGAACTTCACCCGGTAATTCAAGCTCATATACTTCCCGGAATCTAATCTATACTAGACCTTAGACTGTAATATTCGCACAATCTATCATTTTCAGAGCATATTTCAAAACAGGTGTCGATATCACGCGGAACTATTTGCTTGCGACTCAGGATCTTCCACAGAAATGAATCCCAAGTTCTCCTGTACAATGCTTGTGCGCCACCACTTCTAGATTACTCCCTATTCATATCTAGTAATATACGCACAGAATACAAACTAAAATTAGGATTGCAGATATACTTCACGCTAAAACTATTCGGAACCGAAAACCGCACAAACTACCTCACCAGATGCGAAACCGTAGGACTTGAAACAATATGGCCAAGACCACCGCGACTAAACTTTATACTTTTCCGGAAGCTTCCAAACTATATGGTGTACACCCCTGTAATTTTCGCTCGATTTTCAGACGACAATGAATGTAACACAAGACACATTAAAGGCACACTGGCTACAGAACAATGTTAAACTGGCACCGGGCAAAGTTTTTCTTGATTAGATATACCAAAATATGGAACAAACTACCTACGGAAATGCGACCAGCAAGCACACTTGCCTCCTTTGAAAGGTACTTAGTGACACATTAAAAGAATTTGTAAGCAGTGCTAGTGCAAATACCCATCTAAGAGCCTCAGAAATCATAGGCCCATTTATTGTATAAGCTTAGAGACTACACCTGTTGTTTCGCATCTATTTACAACTTCAGATAAAAAAGAAGCAGTCATGACAAAAGCACCCATACAAATAAGAGTCGCTCGTATAATGTCTACCTGATACAAAGAGTGAAACAAGGGCAAAACCTACCACAATATCACATGGAAAGGTATGTGTTTTTGGACATTACTTTTACTCCACCAAATAGACTACTCTCTGGAGGGATGCAGTGGTGTAGTATGCATTATGCTAAAGGATTCTGTAAATCCACAAATCCGTTGGTACAAATCAAATTCTTAAACCTACTCAATGTCGAGTATTTAGTCAGCGGTGGTAGAAGTTCACAAAACAGTGCATCTAAAGCGTAGGTATACCTCCCATTAATAAATCGATGCTATGCGAATATTTCGAAATTGTGGGATAATCAAACCCCAAACGAAATGTAATTAAATAAATCCACATGGCAAACAAGCTGCACTAAACATCTATATATTCATCCATACGCTGATCGTGCTGACAAATTCATATTACTAACTATACAGAGCCAACTAGGATATATAAAAAATGATGAAATTTGTTAACAATTGCATTTCGAATCTGACTGAGTCATTCAATGGTAATATTCTGCTCCTGTGCAATTCATTCATCATTTTTATGTATTAGTCCCTGAGCAACCTGGTTCCCGACAGAAATGAATAAAAAGTCTACCGGTTACTGATTGCTGTTGATTTAATAAAAATTTTCTCACCTTTAACCTGATACTAACCGCTGTGGTGAGCCAATTGCAGATATCGCGAAAACGACTTCGGTAAACTATTTTTACAAGCCATTTTTATACTTTTCTGAATAGGCTGCCAATCCTGCCGCATCTAACTCAGTATAAGATTGTTGCGCGCAATCCCCTTAAAACCGCACAGTAATGAGGCCTGGTATTATATTATGTAATTTGCTTCTACCTACGTATAGTAAGCTTACAGATATTATTCTACGACTTCTGGTTATGTACACATGTACTCTATAACTGAATAAGTGCAAATGTGCTTACTTAATGTACACACCATTTATCATATTGATAGCTCCTGTAGGCCGGTGTCTCTCGTAAAAACTAATCAGAATATATCCCTCCAGCCATTTTGTCGCTATAACAGTACTTTTCGTCAATAATTTTGAGTAATGGTTGAAATAACGAGCGGTCGAGATCATCAATCATCATTTTTTAAACGACGGGTAAACTGATGAATAACGTATTATAGTAAGCTATCCAGATTATCAGAGTTTAGTGGCACATTAGTATTTACAGTTTAAAACCAATGGGTCCTGTAGCATTCCCTAGGTACAATACGTATACCAAATAAGGAAAACAACCCAGACAGACAAAACGGAGTAGAAACACACTAAATCTTCATGTTGGTTCACGATGCAACTCATCACAGAAACTGATCGTACCATTTTACAAGGTGTAGGAAGTCGACGGCTAGATATGATACGCCGTCTGCCAAAGCGATTCTATGTCCACCAAATCCCAATGCGCTTATTCTACTTAG